ATGGCCGCCCATCGAAATTACCGAACGGTGAGCCGCGCGAGCGCGGGGGACAAGAGAGGACAGGGCAGAACGCGCGCAGCGCGTGTCGGTCCCTGCGGTCGGCTTCGAATTCTTTCGAGTCGAGCTTTTTTGCGGGCCGTCTCTGCTCCGGTTCGGCGGCCGAGCGCGGCCCGGAACGCTTCGACAGCGGGTTCCTTCGATCGACGACCGATCGATCTCGTTCCGCTCCCCTCGCTCCCCGGCGTCGTGCATCAGGGATCCATGCAAAAAGACGTCCGACCACTACGGTCGACGCGACACCGAGGTCCGTTCGAGGAACACCGGACTCTGCGAAGGGCGATTTTGTTGTGCACCGTCGAGGGAAGCTCGATCCGCGAGAGGCAGGGCGAGGAAACGGTCGATTAAGAGCAGGAGGTCGAGCTCGTAACCGTTAGTCTCGCGCGCGCTCCCTTTTCCGACCGAATAGTGGCAACAGTTGCGGTTTATGAAATTAAATCGACCCCGATGCGTTCCGTGGCAGCGCTCCGCGGCGGATATTGTCTACGTGTCCTCGAAATTTTCCATCGCAGTCGCGCCGGGAGCTACGGTGCGTCCGATCCAAGACGAATCTCTCGCTCGGGACGATCAATCCGACGCGGAGGAGGGGGCTCTCGACGGTTGTAACAGTTTAAGCGCGTCGTTCGAAATTAAGCGGCAATTTTTGGAGCGCGCGCGCAGAGCGGGGGGCCCCGTCCTCTTCTCTGTCGGCCGGCCGCGCGGCGAGGGGCGATTTATTTTCGGGGGCGGTCGCAGACCGCGCTCTATAATATCCAGCACGAGCGCAGCCACCTTTATCTCGGCTATTAACCCCCGGCGAACTAATTAAATTAAATGATCCACGGTCCCTCGATCATCCGGCGCGTAAGTGCCTATTTATTCCGACGCCCTTCGAACCGAATGAAATCGTAACGCGAATTCCGAGCGGCGTCCCTTCGAATTCCACGATCAGCGTCGTCGTCGTCCTCGCGTTCGATTTCCCTGCGACCGTTCGCCGCGAAAGAAAATCGGCGCGCGGGATAGAATCGCTACGGAGGAAAGGGGTCGTTGCGCAGGCAGCTGGGTCGAGATTGTTCGAGGAGGATATATGGGAGGTATCGGAAGGTACACAGGGGCCCCGACCCCTTCCGGGTCTGATCGAAGGTAGCTCGAGTGGCGGCGACGGGAAAAGAAGGAAACGCGGGGTGGCGCGGCGGAGGGGCCTGCCGCGCCACGATCCTCGCACGCACGTGCTGGATAGAGGGTCGAGCCACGGAGAGAGCCAAGGAAGCTCCCCCGGGAGCCACGTACCATTTTGCATAAATCGCGAGACACCCCGTAGCGGTGGAACCTCGGGGAGATTCCGAAATGGCTCGAACCTACGGCGGCGCCGCGCGCGATCACCGGGGGGATGAAAATGCCGTGGCGGCGCACCCGATATTTCCAGCCCCTTTTTCTTTTCCGCGGCAAGCACGTTGCCGCCCAGGAATTTCCTCGATAATCCCGTGGAATCCCGGAAACGCGTAAGCGTCGCTCCTCCTCGGTAGAAAGTCGATTCGGATCGCGATAGTCGGATCTGGACACTGACGGAGGGTGCGGGAAACGCCGAGACCCTCCACCCTCTTTCCGCGGCTCGGCTTAATTCAACGATAACCGCAATATGCTTTCTCCCGTGGCTGCGGAGGATCGTTTTATAGCGGTAACTCGAAGCGGACTGCCACCGCGGGGGATGTAAGGCCCCCATGTGCTCGACGAGGGGATGTATCGCGACGGCGAGCCGGAATGAAACGCAACGACAGCTCGGGGTGTAGTTAATGTTGCCGGTTCCGCACGCTGGTCCCCGAGAGGCGAAGCCTACGAAACTTTCTCCGTCGTTCCGGCCGCCGTCGACACCACGGCGTCGAACGAGCGTCGAATCGCGCGGACGTAAAAAAGCATTGACCGGCCAGTGAACTTTTTGGCCGTCGCTGGCTCGTCTCGCGTTTCTCAACCATAAATCCACGCCGACCGGGCTGTACTTTTTCGAAATGATCCGCGGCGACCATTATCGGGGACAGTAATTCGGCGGGCGCGATCGATCGGTCGGCGGCGGTCGCGATTCACCGGCCCGATAAGGCCCGTCCCGTGGAACCGGTAACGCGGCGCGGCGCTGCATCGCCAGGCCACGCTTTCGGTGAGCCAGTTTCGCCGTTGCCGCGCCGCGGTTGCATCACTTTCGCATCGGATTTAAGCCG